GCAGACCCGCTGCCTGAGGAGCTCTGCAAGAGGGGCCCAAACACCTATATTTTAAAAAGCACCACGGGAGCTCCTGGAGATGCCAAAGCTTGGGAAATGCCAGGAGGGAATTCTGAGCGTCCTTACTGGACCACAGCCCTGGGAGCTGGGTGCCTGCCCCGCGTGGCTTCTGAGTTCAGCGCAAGGGCTTTTACCGAATTGCACTTTGCACTGAGGAGTGTGCCCCGCAGGAGCACACAGTTCTCTTTCATATTTACAGGCTGGCTGCTGTGGAGAGCATGAATCATCCTATTACCTACTCCCATTCATGACGATCTATAGGAGAAATCTTATTCGCGTCTGAAAAAAGCTGGGTGATATCCAAAGAGCCAGCCTGGATAAGAAGGACCATTTAATGGTGGTCTTTGTCTCTTTAGTTTGACAATTGGAAACTCTGAGCCAAATGTGGAGCTCACTTTTGACAATTACTCACGTCCTTTTGACATAAACCTCTGTGTATTAACAACACGAGGCTTAACTGAACTATCCCACTCACGTTTTTTCATCTCCCCAGTGTCTTAAATCCGTCACTAGCTATTGCTAGTGTGCTGTACGTATGGATGTGTGGTAGGCATCTGAGCTGTTCACCAATATCAGGTCGTATCCATTTCTGGACTCAGGGGAGTAGTGTGGTTCCCCAGGTCCTTGAAGTTGGGTGTGGCCTTGTGATTTGATTTGGTCCATGAAATGTGTGCGGAGGGGACTTGGGTCACTTCTAGGTGGTGGCCACTGAAATGGTGGTCCTCTACACTTCAGCCCTTCCTTCCCCTTCCTGGGCAGTCCTGGAAGCATGAGCTGATGAAGAGGAGACACAACACAAAAGAAACTTGAACACGGCGCCAACAAAGGACCACTCTGGCAAGTCACCACATCGCCACATCCCAGGGAGCCCAGTGAGAGAGTAAGAAGTAAACTTTTGATGAGTTAAGCTACTGAGATTTGGGGATAGCCTAAAACCTAAGCCTACCCCGACCATATCATATGCAAATGACCTCAAGTCCTTTTTGGAGAGAAGCTGAGTTATAAATACTCAGCAAATAGAGAAACAAACTCCTAACAAAAGCCTATTTGAGAGAAAAGATATTTATAGAAGATTATGTTCGGGATACATGGTCACCCTACTTCTCTGAGTACTTCCGATTCATTCTTGTTTCAATCTGATTACCAGCATCTTTCAGAATCAACATCCTCGAGTTGTGTTTTAATGTTCTGCTTTTTAGTTGTTCTTAGTGTTTATTTACTTTTGAGAGAGTGACCAGGGGAGGGGCAGAGAGAGAGGGAGACACAGAATGGGAAGCAGGCTCCAGGCTCTGAACTGTCGGCACAGAGCCCGACACGGGGCTTGAACTCATGAGCTGTGAGATCAAGGCCTGAGATGAAGTTGGACACTCAACAGACTGAGCCACCCAGGCACCCCTATTCTGCTCTTTTTAATTTTTGTGGTAAAACATACATAATAGTTACCATTGTAGCAATTCAAGTGTATAATCCAATGGCATTAAATACATTCACTCTGTTGTTTAGCCACTATCCACACTCAAAACTTTCATATGCTCCCCAACAGAAAGGCCCTATCCATAAAACAACACTTCTCTTCTTTCCTCAGCCTCTGGTAACTTCTCTTCTACCTTCTATTCCTACAGAATTTCCCTACTCTAGGTACCTCATATGAGTGAAATTATTGTTTTTTATTTTTTTAATGTTTATTTCCGAGAGAGAGAGAGAGAGACAGCATGAGAAGGGAAGGGTCAGACAGAGAGGGAGATACAGAATCTGAAGCAGGCTCCAGGCTCTGAGCTAGCTGTCAGCACAGAGCCCGATGTGGGGCTTGAACCCACGAACCGTGAGATCCATGACCCGAGCCGAAGTCGGACGCTCAACTGACTGAGCCACCCAGGCGCCCCATGAGTGAAATTATAGACTATGTGTCCTTCTGTGTCCGATTTATTTCACTAAGTATAATGTTCTCAAGGTCCATCCGTGTTGTAGCATACATCAAAATTCCATTCCTTTTCGTGGCTGACTAGCATTCCATTGTATGTACCTACTGCATTGTGTTTATCCATTCATCTGTTGACAAACACTTGACAGACACTCAGTGTCTGCTTCTGTAAGGAATCTAAACAAAAACAAAGCTCCTCTCTAGCAACTTCCTAGATCCATTTGCTTTCCATATTTCTGTTCTTTACCCTGGTTCTGAAGTTTTATTTACATTTTAAAAATTCTTTCACCATATGCTTTCTTGCCAATACTTCAAAGTCTCTGCAGAATAAAGCATGGTGGAACTATTTTAGACAAAAAAACAAAAAACCAAAAAAAACCCCACAGCATGTAATGTTACACTTAAAATACAAGATAAAAGATTTACTGAATATGATCCCAATTTAAAAAAATATCTATGTACCTATGCGTATGCATCAGAAGAAAGAATAGCAAGAAACACACCAAAATGTTAACAATGATTAACTTGAGGTGATGTCATTGCCGATGGTTTCACTTTTTTCTTCTTTATACTTTGTTACAAAGAATGTGAAGCTTCCTTGTCTGTAAAATGAAGATACTCATACCTACTTCATGGAGTTGTGTCGCTCAAAATTAAGTGTAAGTGATGCAGTAATTAGTGGTGTCACACATTTACATAATAGTCACAGTATGTGCCTAATATGTACCCTAACGAAGGGTAGCAGGTGCCGTAATTACAACAGCAATTAATGAAACAATTTAAAAGGAAATGTGAGGATTGAGAAAGTAAAAATAAGCCCGTACTTTGTAAAGAACATTCGCTTACATGAGCTCGTTCACCCTTTAGCCTGCAAGAGGGTCGGGCTTAGGGAGAGGGATTGGCAGGCGGGACTAATATGTGCTCAATGACCAACATGTGCCACCAGTGCCAATGCGGCCACTTTGTAGAGTCTCAGGGGAAAAGGGCGGGGCTCAGAATGGTTAAGAAACTTGCCCAAGCTACAGAAGCAGGGCCCATAGCTCAAATTCCAGACTCGTAATCCAGTTTTCCTTCTGCTCCAACAGGCGACATTATGACACTGAACCTCAAAAGCCTGCGTGTGTACCCTCCCCCCCCACCTGTCTGCGACATTCTCAGTTCCAAAGGCACCAACGTTCACCGGTTTATACATACAAGTTGCTCCTTCTTATCTCCATGTCCACGGGGTGGCTTGTGATGTGTGGGGTGGATTTAGTTCCCCGATCTCTCACCCAGACCACCCCCAAAGGAATAATCAGTCTGAATAAAAACACTGTACTAGCTATGCAGACACAGAGTCAAGGTCAGCCCCACACCAACACTTCTCAATCAGCTTGTTCACCCCAAGTCCTCTCGATGCAGAAATTCTGGAACCATCTTCAGAGACAAAGGAGCTGACACAGTGCGGGATTTGGGGAATTCTGCAAAGATAGCCCAGCAGAGATTGCGGGCTGGGACAGAGAGCTGTGATGGCTATCACTCACTCTCTCCCCATCGGGGGCTCATGTTCTAATCATCATAGAGAACGCTGCAAGAGTTTTTTTGCTACCCTGTTAATTGTGGCGTCATCACGGCCCGCTGATGGGCAGGGGCCTGGTGTGGAAGGGGGTGGGGGTTGTGAGCGGGACAGTGCAGCCCAAGTGCTTCAGATAGAGCCCGTGTGTCCCTAACGCTGCCAATCTCTAATCCTCTCCGCCCTGCCTCCTCCTCCCCAGCTGAAACCCTGGGCTTCTAGGCTAACCTTGGGAAATCTTTCTGGACTAATCAGGGCTGAGGCTGATCTCTATTATACTTTGTGCTCCTGCTCTTGGGAGAACGTCAACCTGAGACAACCATGCGTGGGAGCTTCAAGCAAGTTTGCCTCGTCACCCTGCCTCACTGACAAGCTCTCCTCCCCAGCGCAGGGGCCGGAGCTACAGAGCACTCGATGCACCCTGTGTACCGGCTGCCGTTCCTGGGCTCTGGCAGCCACTACCTTTCTGGGTCATTTTTCAAAGCCCGGATCCCCTCCGGCTCCCTGGTCTCCTCGGGATCTCTATAGCATCTTCCCCAACCCCCTTCTCCCTTGATTATGCTTCAAAGGTGAACAGTCTTCCGAGGTGTGGTACAAAGACTCCCAGCGCTTTCCTTCTGCTAAGAATAAAGGTGTAACTGACCACAGCCATGCTACACTCTTGCTCAAAAACTCTCAGTGGCTCCCAATTGCCTCCAGATAAGTTCTAGCTCCTTAGTTTGGCAGTAAAGGTCCCCCTTCATGCCCTTAGCCAGCAGACCTTCCTAACCTTCCTTCCACAGCTCCATATAGATCAGGTAGCTCACGGGGCACCCCGGAACGCAATTCTCTTCTCCTGTAGAGTGCAAAACACCTTGGTCCCCAAACCATACCCAACACTAACTGGTTCAACCCAAACGTCATCCCGCCCCCTCTCTTCTCCGTAGGAAACAGTTTCCGTCCCCACTAGCCCTTTGGCCTCCCTCCTTCCAATCTGGTATTCAGTCCAATTTTTCTCTCTGTAAGTTTGAAGTCATGGGCAGTCTTTTTAATTTCGTGCCTCCCCCTCTACCCACTGCCTCCCGCGGAGCAGTAAGGCGGCAAAGGCTGCCAGGTTCCTGTTCCGATTTGTAAGCCTTCCCGCTAAAGTCGCACGAACCCAAGCTCTGCCTCCTTCTAGACCGAAAATCCTCCACAGCCTTCGAAGAACCATTTACACCCCCCACCCCCTCTGCGAACTGTGCTAACAAGCAGGCCCTGACTCGGGAGGTCTGGGGAGGGGCCGAGACCGCATGTCTACCCATCTCCCAGGTGACGCGCGTGCAGGTGCTGCCAGGAGCACGTTTAGAAAAGCAGGGAGGCGATGCCACCTGTGGATGAGGCAACAGCTCACATCTGTGCGGCGGAGCCCGGGAACAGCCGCCCCTCCCCCACCCCTCCCCGCCCCTCCCCCACCCCTCCCCGTACCCCCCCGCGGCGCCCACTTACCTATGGTGGACACCACGGTGCCCACGAAGTAGAAGGCGCCGGTGAAGTCCCAGCGCGGCCGGGCGCTGTCCACGCGGATGCCGGCCTCGGCGGCCTCCTCGTAGTGGCGGAGGAAGCCGCGCAGCTCGTCGCGGCTGAGGTTGTGGCGGCGGCTGAAGTTGGCCAGGCGCCCCTCCCAGCGCTGCTTGGCCTGCCGCTCGTGCGCCAGCTCCAGCGCCGAGAACACGGCGGCGCCGCCCAGCAAGTAGAGCACGATGAGCGCGGCGAGCAGCAGGAAGCGCGCGTTGTCCTCGTTCAGGTGGCCCGGGCCGCAGCCGCAGCCCCGGCCCGCCATGGCCGGGCCCCCGGGGGCGGCCCCGCGCCGGGCGGCCGTGGCCGCGGGCCGACTCTCGCCCGGGGCCCCCGGGAGCACGCGGCTCAGCCCGCCGCCGGACCCCCGACGGCCGGCTCGCCCATGACCGCTGGGCCACCCCCCGCCCCCGGGCCGCGCGGCCCCCCGGGCGGCCGCTCCTGCTGCGCCCGCGCCCCTCGTCCGCCTCGACTCCCGGTTTCAAATCCGCTTTTGCGTCGCCGTCGCCAACCGCCTTGGAGTTCTCCTGAACGCTCAAGGTCCGAGGGCCCCGTGTCCACCCCGACGGCCTCCCAGCTCGGCTCCTCAGCGCAGACCCGGGCGGACTTGAATTCGCCCCGAAGCGAGGGTCTCGGGGCCGGCGGTCTCCGTAGCTCCAACCTCTCAAGCCGCCGACGGCCAGGACGCGGGGTGACCGAGTGCGGGCGCGGGTGGTGCCTCCCCAGACGGATTCGTGGTGCTGCGTGCCAGTCGCTGCGCCGCGCGGAGCCTCAGGCCTCGGGGGTTACCCACCCGGAGCAGGTCCCCGGCGGGCGCACCCGCGGAGCGACGTCCACGGGTTCCTACCCTCCCGCCCGGCCCCCACGCTGCGCATCCGGGGGGCGGACGGCCTGGAGGAGGAGACCAGAAAGGGAGGTTGGAGTGAGGGGACGAGGGAAGGTTGGGGCATCACCCCCCCCCCCGCCCCGGGCAGCCTCCCTCTCCCTCCCCAGGCCAGAGCGCCCTTGGCCTCGGTCCAGCGCGGGGGCTTCTTCCGATCCCACGTGTCCGCTCCGCGGGTGCGAAGCGCGCGTCCCTAGCCGGTCCCAGCTTCCGGAGAGGGGGCCGAGGACCGGGGGCTGGAGAGTTCCATCCCCTCCCTCCGGGCTTGGCCTCCTCGGTGAGCTCCAGAGATTCTGTGCCGCGGGCGCGCGGCGCAGAGCGCTCCCCCCCGTGCACCACGGCGGCCAGGCTCGCCAGCAAACCCGCCAGGGGCTCCCTCCCCGAGACCTCGTCTCTCAGGGGACGCCGGCGCAGCCTCCGCGCTCGACTCTCACCTCCCGGGGAGAGCGCCCTCCGCGCCGCGCTGTCGAGACCGGCCCCTCCTCGCCGCGGCGGTGCTTCGCAGAACCGCGCTGGGAGCTGAGGTCTACGCCGCGCACTGCCCGGCCTGGCTGGCTCGCTCCGACGCTGCAACAGGTGGAGCCACGCGGCCGCGGGCGCCAACGTCTCCACCCCGTCCTCCGCCTCCTGGCCGCGCCCGGCCTCTCCCTTCGCCGGTCTCCGCCCGCAGATGCGGGCTCTCGGCGGGCCCACCCGGGGGCTGCAGCGCTCCCACCCGGGCGCGCGGATCCCCGGAGTGGGTGCTGAAGACGCACGTTGGGTGCTTTGCCGGCTTGAGTGGGCCCCTCTTGGGCCAGAAGGGGGCGCTCCGTCTCCTCCAGACACGTCTCGCCCCCACCTGTGTACTCAGCCACACACTGCCCCTCCGGAAACACCAGCCCCTGGCATGTAGGAGTGAATATGGATACAGAGAGGAATGGACGCGTGGGCATCTTCGAACTAAGTAGAAGTTCCCTGCCTCCCGAGAGAGTAGTCCCAAGCTCAGAGCCCGCCCACCACCCACTTACACTCGCCAGGAGCAGAGAATTAAGAAACACAGAGCTCCGGATTCCAATACATCTGCCAACCCCTCAGCTCCGTTATCTCCTCCTCAATGCCCTTGTTTTATTTAACTTATTGGGGGCAAGAGCTTTAGGTGATATGTGCGTATAGAGACGTGCATGCAACCAAGGTAAAGTCTGGCAATTACTCCCCTCCCCATTTTATTATGGAAAATTTCAAACATAAAGTTGAAAGGAGTTTTATATACTCCCCACCTAGATTCTACAATGAACATTTTACTATACTTATCTTTTATCTACCCATTCCTTTCTTTTTTTTTTCTTTTTAAAAATTTTTAATGTTTTATTTGTTTCTGAGAGAGAGAGAGACAGCGTGAACAAGGGAGGGTCAGAGAGAGAGAGAGAGAGAGGGAGATACAGAATCTGAAGCAGGCTCCAGGTTCTGAGCTGGCAGTCAGCACAGAGCCCGATGTGGGGCTCGAACCCACGAGCCGTGAGACCATGACCTGAGCGAAGTCGGACGCTTAACGACTGAGCCACCCAGGCGCCCCTACCCTTTCCTCTTTCTAGCCCTCAACCCACCTTGTTCGGATGCATTTCAAAGTTGTAGACATCATTACATCTGCTCAACCCAGTACCTTTCCCTACATATCATTAAGGAGTTCAGTATTTACAGATACTGTTTTCTCTTGGGGTAAAACAGTGAAATGCGCAGATCTTAAGTGTACCATTAGGCGAGTTATGACAAATGCATACATCTGTACAAATTAAACAGCTACCCATCCAACACATCAACCAAGCATCACCAACAGGTCAGTGTTTCCCATATGCTCTTTCTCAGCAAGTCCCCACCCACATTTCTCCAGAAGAAATCACTGGTTTTTTGGTTTGTTTTTCCTACCACCGACTGGTTTTGCCTTCATGGAACTTAACTTTTGCCTGTTCTAGATCTTCATATAAATGGAATCCTACCTTTCCATACTTTTGTGTAAAGCATTATTATTTTTTTAGATCTATCCAGATACATGTCTTGGTCATTTATTCCTTTTTCTTGCTAATTTTTTGTTTGAATATTCATCCTCCTATTGATAGAAACCAGAGATATTAGAATTTTTTGGCTATCCTAAGGTTGTTAACCTTCTTTTGCACATTTTTGTGGCTCTGTTTTCCTGTCTCTTAGGTAAATACCTAGGAGTGGGACTTCTGGGTCAGAGGGGAGGTGTGTATTTCATTTTATATGACACTGCTTAACATTTTTTAAAAGTAGCTGTACCAACCAACAATGCACACTAGTTCCATATCCCTGCAAACATTTGGCAGTATCAGTCATTGTGATTTTATTTTTTTTTATATTTTTATTTATTTCTAGGAGAGAGAGAGAGAGAGAGACAGCGTGAGCAGGGGAGGGTCAGAGAGAGAGGGAGACACAGACTCTGAAATAGGCTCCAGGCTCTGAGCTGGCAGTCAGCACAGAGCCCGACGCGGGGCTCGAACCCACGAACCGCGAGATCATGACCTAAGCGAAAGTCGGACGCTCAACCGACTAAGCCACCCAGGCGCCCCCATTGTGATTTTAAACATACTGGTGTGTGTGTAGTGCTATCTCATTGTGGTGTAATTTGCATTTGTCTGCTCTCTTAATGTGCTTATGGCCATTTGTGTATCTGCCTTTGTAAATTATCTGTTGAATATTAATGTTGAAATTATTTTTTGAAATATTCTAAGTTATCTGTTGACTCTGTTTAAAAATTGATTTCTCCTTTTTATTATTGAGGTGTAAGGATTCTTTATTCCTATGTAGGAGATCAGTCCTTTCTCAGATACCTTCTTTTTTTTTTTTTAAGGAGCTTCACACCCAATGTGGAGCACAACATGGGGCTTGAAGTCACAACCCTAATATTAAGACCTGGGCAGAGATCAAGAGTCGGATGCTCAACCGACTGAGCCACCCAGGCGCCCCTCAGATACCTGTCTTGCAAATATTTTCTATCAGTCCCTGGCTTGCCTATTTATTTCCTTAATGATGTTTTCTGATGCTATGTTTTTAATTTTGATGAAATCCAATTTATCAATCATTTATGTTTGGTCCTCTTTTTATATTAAGAAATTACTTCCCTCAAAGGTGTATAGGTTTCATGGTTCCTCCCCCCCCCCCACGAAATGTTTTAGTTTTAGTTTTTATAATCAGATTATGATCCATTAACTTTGTCTCTATATTGTGTGAGGTAAGAGTTGAAGTTCATTCTATCTATATGGATATCTAGTTATTCCAGTGCCATTTGCTGAAAAAAGCAAGAGTGAATTTATTTCAGGAATCTGCATCTTGTTAATTATTTGTCCATCTTTATGCTAATACTACAGTATTTGGGAACCCTCCAACTGTGTTCTTTATCAAGATTTCCATTGGAAATTATAAGACCTCTACATTTTTGTAAAAATTCTAGAATCAGCTTTTTAAAAAAAATTTTTTAACGTTTATTTATTTTTGAGAGAGAGAGAGAGACAGAGACAGAGCATGAGTGGGGGAGGGGCAGAGAGAGAGGGAGAACAGAATCTGAAGCAGGCTCCAGGCTCTGAGATGACAGTACAGAGCTCAAACCCACAAACCATGAAATCATGACCTGAGCCGAGGTCAGAAACTTAACTGACTGAGCCACCCAGGCACCCCTAAAATCAGCTTCTTAATTTCATCAGAAAAAGCCTTGTGGAATCTTCATGAGAATTGTGTTGAAACTATTCTGGGGAGTACTGTCCTTTTATTAACAAATGAGGTCTGTTCCTCTATTTATTTTAGTCTTTCTGGTAAGTTTTCATGTAGAAGTTTGCACATCTTTTGTAAATTCATTGTAAAGTATTTTAGGTGTTTTCATGCTATTGTAAATATCAAGATTTCATTTTCCAGCTGTCTGCTGTAGTATATAAACATTTTATGCACATTAACTTGATTCCTGCAACCTTAGTAAATTCATGTGTAGTAGTCAATTCCTTTAGGGTTTTCCATTTAATCATGCCATTTGAAATAGAGTTTTGTTTTTTCCTGAGATTTATTTTTCTTGTCTTACTTCAATGGTTAGCACCTCAGTATAATGGGGGAAGAGGAGAGGTAGAAGGAGAGATCCTTATCTTATTCATGATCTTAAGGGAAAGCCTTCAGTTTTCCAGATAAATAGAATGTTAACTGTGGGTTTTTTCATAGATACTTTTTATCAGGTTAAAGTTTCCTTTCATTTCTAGTTTTCTAAAATCATAAAGGAGTGCTGAATTTTGTCAAATGTTTTTCTGCATCTTTTGCAATTGATCTTACAGTCTTCTTTATCCTGTTAATGTGTTGAATTTCATTAATTGCTTTTCTAATGTTAAGTCAAGCTTGCGTTTCTGGGGTGAT